AATCTCTCAGCAAGAATTGATGCCTTCATTCAATCATTTCATTTGAAAATTTTTCCGCTAGTTTAAGAAAATTAAATACATAATTCAAGTTAACTATTAATGAAACCATGATTGAATCATCATTCCGCTTACGACCTTTACATGTTTAGTGGTGAGCAGTTTTTACGTGATGCATGTGATATATAATTAGCACGAGATTTTAAACATGTGAGTTTAAGCGAAACTTGAAAGAAATTTATTCAGATCACAAGCTATTGCTTATCGAGGTAAGCTGCAGTTGAAGCACAAAGCCTGAGAGAGCTTAGTGAGTTTCTAACAGCAACCGTCAGACAGACCCTCCCCCCTTCAGAATCTTTGCTTCGTTCCCAGACAGAACCCTCTCCCACAATCACAAAAAGGAACATCAAAACCATTACATTGTATCGAGTGTTTAGACCACAAGTTGTGGCATTTCTGATAGAAAATTGCCCATTCTGCGGAACGGCGCCAAAACGAGAAGAAAAATCACTGGTGATAACCAAGAAAATTCAACTGCTCCTACCAAAGAAACTCGGAATTCACCACAAAATGGCAAAACAAGCAAAAAGTTGGAAGAAAAGACCTACGACCGGTAACGGCAACAAACTCCTACTCACTAATGCTTCTAACCAAAACGTCACTGACAACCTGAAGAATTCACGACGACCAAGTAATAATAATGATAACAGTAATGTTATCACGAGAAATCTATATGGCATGCTCCGAACAAATGAGAACACAACTAACGAAACGAGACTTACCTGGCCGAAATTAATTTAGCCAAAACCGTCATTGACGATAACGCTAAATGCTAACGACGACGATACCGACACAAAAAGCTGTTCAGTCGAAGAATTAGGCAAAAAGAGCCCGGAGTTATCACGTATTTCGATCACGGAATAACACAAAGCAAAAAATTTCCAAATTAAGATAAATAACGAATAATAAATTTCGAAGTTAAACCACCCATAGTGAAGACTAATTAAATTCATCGATATAGTAGATTTACTAATAAATTCTCAATATAGTGGAGAACATGTAGCTTTTTGTGATCTAAGGACAATCTAATCTTGATTTGTTATATCAAAATAGAATCGGAACTCAAAAAGACGAGAAAAAAGCATTTGAGTGATATTTGAAATCAGCTAAGAGTGGGAATATTAGAGGACAATTTATTCTTGGTAATTGTTATAAGAACGCAACGCAATAAATAAAACGCATTTGAATTGTTTTGAAATTATCAATAGATGGATATTCTGAACTATTTAAACTTGTAGATGTTAGTATACAGTGAGTGGAACTAATAGAGATTTGCACAAAGCATTTTCGTGTTTCAGAAATCAGCAGAATCAGAAAATATTGACACTCGATATGCTTATTAGGATCTCAATTCAAATTGGCTGACTTTTATCAATATGGATTCGGAATTCCAATATATAGTTTGATATAACGGGGGGTCGCGTTATAAAGAGGTTTTCTTGAAAATCTGTCTAATATTCTCATTATAAGCCATTCTCGTTTAACGAGCTTTTGCTTGGTACCAAGGTCCCTGGTTGCATCAAGACTTGACTGTACTGTATTGTTTATTGCGTACATTTGTGAAATTTCCATCGTTTACGCTATCGCTATAACAACGATTCAATTATCTTCTATGTTATGCCTATATATATCGATATTCGTTGACGTTATCATTCCAGATCGATTTAGATTTGTGTTGATCGATTTATGCAAATACTGAAGAGTAACATGCATGAAAATGAGACAGAACGCATAAAAAAGAAGGCTTTTATAACTTTTTAGCAACAGCCAAATTTTTTGTGTAACTGTTAATTTTTTCCCCCGATCTTATCGTTAGTTAGCAACTAAAAGTCTCCGGGCTTTTTTTGTTGATCGCCATAAACCAATAACAACGTACAGGATTCAAAGAGTCATTTATCGTTTATCGTTATTATTCCATTTTTGTGTTAAAAAGTCATGTTTAACGTTATGCATCAAAATGAGACAACGTATAAAAGAAGCTTTTTAAGACAAAGAAATCTATTTATGTGGTGTGTAAATGATAAAAGCTTTTCTCCTAATGCATCAAATGCATGTTGTAAGCAAAGGTGATTGTTATCAGTATTTATCGTTATTTATAAGTTGTAAAAAAATGTGTGTTGATTTCCAATCAACTTAGATTTAGTTTGATTTAGAATCAACTTGAAATCAACCTAGATTGATTCAAAATACAAACACAAACGAGGACTTCCACACATCGAGACGATATAAATCATCGTTTTTTAAACGCATGTAAAACACTGTCATAATCACTAATAAACTCAAAGATGACATCTAAAACTTCGAGTACTCATGATTGTAGTAAATGTTGGATTGTCAAAAATGGGGTTACTGCAAAGCGTGCTCAGTTCACAATATTCATGATTGTAATAAATGTACCGATTGTCAAGAAAATGATACTGTCATGGATGTATTCTATATCACAAACGAATTTATGTCGGATGGTTTACGTCGTGAACCTTTCGAAGACTTATCATCATGAAGGGAGTAAATTTAAACGAAAGGAAGAACTCAATTCAAAGAAAATTACAGCCGAGTTTATAAACGAGGTAAAATGAACACTTTTTAAAGTGTAAGCATAATGCATTTTTGTTTTTCAATATAATTAACTTTTTCAAAGTTAGACTGGGCTGCAGTATTATTATAAAATATTATGGAATAACTAAAAACACATACAAATGAACACTCGATAGTGATGGATTATGTAGAAGATGGCTACGCAGATACGATATGAATTCCAGATACATGTACTTGAATTGGGAAGAAATTTAAGGGATATCATTACAGGAATGGATAACATTCACGATGAGAAATCTGTGCATCGTGACTTTCATCCTGGAAATATATTAATGTCAAGTGTGCCTTTAATTGTTGATTTTGGGCTTACCAAACCAGCAGATATAGTAAATTCTAATCAAAAAATTGGCGGCGTACTTCCTTATATGAGTCCAGAGGTACTAAATGGAAAAACATACACTAAAACTGCAGACATTTATGATAACGTACGAGGTTATCAACCATTTGGTGAACGAAGTCATGATATAGATCTCGTATGCGACATTTATAAAAGAGTACGACCTACGATACCAAATAATGTTAATTATTATTGAAAAATGCTGGAATCCTATTCCAGACAAACTGCTAAAAAACTTGAAGACTATCAAATATGGAGATACGACAAAGTGTAATGCGTTGAATGCTTTGCATTTCCAGAACTACAGCTTTTTAGAATATCCTAAGACAGATACGTAGTTTGTTTGTTAATTGATATGTTTATAATATAATGACACATTAGAACTAGAAATTTTGAGTTTATATTAAAGCAAAATTCGATATCGATATGTATGTATTATCGCTACGTATTGGTATGGTATTGTAGAACTTAATACATGCACATGTATTACAACATGCATTTGAAAGAAGAGCCTCTATTTACACAAATAGAATTCATAAAAGGCTACTTTTATCGTTATACGTTCTGTCTTATTTTCTTGCATACATGTTGGCTCGTCTTTTCAAATTTGATTGGTCCACAATGTGCTTGCTTGTTGGTGCCAAATTCCGTATCAGTATACGTACATGTGCAATGCCCATCTCTAAATGTTTAACTATCGCTATTGGTAGACTTCCTGTGTTTATGCGCTTCCTTTTTTTTATAGGTAATACCGATACGCAGAAAGGATGTGCATTTATAAAGAGTAGCTTGGAACTGAGTCGGAATGTGTACATGTATTTAGGGAGAGTTATATATGGAGGTTTCACTGTATTAGATTTTATAGAAATATGTTGGTAATTCAGAGAGAAATTTATTGGTTAGCATTGAATATCTTAAAGGCTGACCATAATGCCCTCTTTTGTTAAAAATTTAAACCTTGATTTTTTGTAAACTGATTAGTTTTTACAAAATGAATAATTCAAGATTCACAGTATAATTTCTTTGAAAATTTATGTTACTACAATAATAGCTTTGAGATTAAATTAAGTCTAAATTTTCTACAAGGTGGATACAACAATCAACGCTTTACAGTAGTTAAGATTATTATAGGAAGAGATTAATCATTTTCTTATTTTAATAAAGAATTCACTTGTTCCTTTCGTGAGTTGATTTCAATAGAATCTAAATATTCAAATAAAATTTATTATTAATGTGAAATGTCAATATGATTTATATTTATAATAGAAAGTACTCGTATCAGTTGGAATTAAAATTAATGTTGGATGTACGTATTTGTTTTTTGTTCGTAATGAAAACACATTTTATTAGCTTGTCAAGTTCATCTAATTTCCGCTTTCCAGTTTAAGACATTCAAGAATTTATTTGCGCGTCTTAGGAGATTCTAAAGAGTTGTAGTACTGAAATACAAAGCTTATTGATACTGTTAATATATTTGATAGACCAGATAAGGCCTTCAAGTTCCTTAGCAGTTAGTCTGTTTTCCGGAATAGGTTCTCAACATTTTCAATAATAAACTTGAATAATTGAGGAACTGTATTTGGTATTGTAGGTCTACACCTTTATATTGTCTAACACGAGATTTTTATCATGATTCCGCCTAATGGTCGTTTACCTGTGACAACCTCGTACGTGATCATTCCAAAAATATAAATATCTGCAGCTTTAGTGTATAGCTTTCCATTTAGTATCTCTGGAATCATATAAGGAAGTACTCTGCAAATTTTTGATCAGATTTTTCTACTGGTTTGGCAAGTCCAAAATTAGCAATACCGATACTAGGAATATTCATCATTTATGAAAGTCATGATGCACAAATTCCTGATTGCGAATTTTTTTTAACTCTCCAGCAATTTGAATTAAATTCGATTTTTTGGTAGTTGGAAATAATACGTATACGTATTTTTGTAGATGGATTCTTAGCGTTATGGTGCATAAAATCTAAAGTCATCAAATGTTTGTATTTAACAAAATGTATAAACTTCTTACTAAGAAGTAAATACAAAATTTAACCCATAAATATGATAGAATAGGCTTTTTCTGAGCATATTACGGATTAAATTTGTTATTTACTTCTTAGTAAAGACATTTATTTTCTACAATATAATATAAAGCTCAATAATTCAATAACAATAATTTATTCGACACAATATGATCTAAAGTTCAAAGTCAATAATAACAATTTGCTCAGCACAATATGATATAAAGCTGTCAGTGATTTGATAAGTTCAATATGATATAAAATGTTTTATTTAATCATGGTTATCATTTCACTTTTGTTTTCAATTAATTTCTCTCTTGAATTCGCTCTTGAACAATCGTAAAGTAACAAAATAAGCTCTAGAAAAAAATAACTCAAATATATATATATATATATATATATATATATATATATATATATATATATATATAACAAAGGTCTACAGGCCTCAGTAAAAATTAATCTCCAACTAATAAAAAACCATTGAGTATTCTTGCGTACAATAATTCCTCCTATGAAATTAATATTTGTAAACCCCTTTTTGTGATGATTGATTGAATCGACGGATAATTAGGACCTTTGATCCAGAAATTCATTGTTGATTGATTTATTGATTGAAAAGCACTTTATTGATGGAAGTTAATTTCGAAGATAGGATAAATAGAAACCTCCCATTGCATAACATATACAACCCCAAATCACCTTACCTAATCTCCCCTCTGAATCCCTCCCGACTGATTATAACGAATGATGTCCGTAGATATCAGCACAGGAATTAGTGATTAATGAACATAATGAGTCTATTCACTGTCCCAAACCTATTCTTGCAGGTAAACTCGTCAATTTCGCCTAATTGCAATCTACTGTTACCGCCAACGGTCAAACTTCCCCGATTACGACTTTATGGAGAGAAGAGATCGCCAACATCGGACGCATGTGTCAATAATGCTAAAGGTTTCCCAAACCGGTAGATTTTCAGCAGCTACATGTAATCCCCATCACGATTATTAACAATGCTGCAGGTCTCCCAGCATGCTGATAAAATAACATGCTTTCCTTTTTGGTGTGCAGCACGAAACTACGCCATTCTCCGTGCCTTTAACATCATTTTTTAGCGTCACCACATCGTTTTCAGCATCTCCTCGTCATCTTCCCATCATTTCTTAGCGTCTCCTCATCATTTCCCAGCGTCGCCTCATCATATTTCCGTCAGTTTTCGATTCTTCATCAGTTTCCTCTATAGATGGTAGAACGTCCATTATAAACATTTTTATTAATAGTCAAAGTAATTTTTTTAAAAAAACAATAGTAACAAATGTAATAATACAAAAAATGTATAAAAGAACGGCCTAATAAAGAACAGAATAAAATTGTGTACAATTCTTCTCCAAGCAAAATATAGCTTGAATCTTTGCGTACAACTATTCTTAAAAGCGAATTATTGCTTGTAAAACTCTTCCCCCTTTTCCCCACGTTAATCGTGTTGCTTGTTGGTTAGGTCCTTTACACCAGAAAAGGCATTGTTTTCACATTGTTAAATCGTATTATTATTGAGAAACTGTTTTTGCGTGGTTATTTTTAAGAGTTTAAGGCTTTTGTCTAGAAAAGCGACGATTGTTATTAATTATTTTTAAGAGTTTAAGGCTTTATTTATAAAAAGAAACAATAAAGAAATCCCCAAACATTCACCTGAAACACATAATCTCTCCCCAAATCAACATAGGCTCTAGATACCGAAAGAAACAACTATTCAGTCTATTAATCTTTCCCATAGTATTGTTGCGGCATAAATCCCCCAATTCGCCAAAACAGAACGAAATCGCAACACTACCCACAACAGCACAAATGAAATTCGTGGCGATCATTTTAACATTTACATGTCATGTATGTATGTGAGAAAAAAAATCAAATGCGTGAGAAAACTACATGTGGGAGAAAACAAAATCATTTGCAGTTATTTTCTTGCAGAATTCCCCATCAGAATATTACTCTTTAGTAACGACTTAAATATCCTTTAAAATGCAAAACGAACTCGACGAAGAGGCAAGCAATATTCCTTTTAAGCTTACACAAAAAAATAATAATTAATGGAACGAATCATCTACTGCGTGGCTAATATATACTTTGTAGTTTGAAGACCTTGGTATGGACTCTTTTGATGAGGATGAAAACACGCTTACACTTGATGAGTTTTTTGAAATTATCTTCGGATCTGATCCGCTGGATTTTGACTCTACTCAATTTATTACAGAAGAATTGACAGTTGAAATGGTGAATAAATGCGTGGAACGCGCTCTTCAAAACCTTTACACAGAATTTTGCGGGACCTGTTTCCTTAGCTTATCGATATCCTTAGACGCACAGTTTCCCTTCGCAAGTTGGTCTAGTAACCCGCACTGGCCGTGATTTTCTGGTCGCTTTTCTGAATCAAGTACCAGAAAAAGCTATACCCAATATACTGAGCTCTCGTCTCCTCCAATATACCTGTTCAAATACTTTTGACCAATCAACTGGGATCATGTCCTAAAGGGTTGAAGGTTCTCTGTGTTGCGTGAATTGGTAATTGCAAAAAAGTATTGCCTTCTCCTTTCATTTAACTTGACGACTAGCGAAATAATCCTCTTTTTTCGAAACAATTGTATCCAATTTTGAGCACAAATCGGGAAGATATCATTTCGATTTCTCATCCGGGATCAATCGATATCTCTTTTCTGAAAATCACATTCGACAACCGGTTGCAATAGCTGAAGTATATAATAGTAAGACACCGTTCCAATTCATGAATGGCATTGTGAATAGTTTCTCCCAATGCCTTCTTTCTAAAGATACATGTCTCTGATAACGATTTCGATGATGATGAAATCAGCCAAGAACTAGAAAATCAAATCCTTACAATTTCCACGGATCGATATGCCGAAGAAAAACGCAAATTTTAGTATTGTACAAGGATACCCAAAAAAAAAGACGGGTCAAAGGGCGCATGATACATTGAATAAGCGAAAGTATTTGTTCGAACAAATTCTTAAAGCAAGATGAGATTGGCTTCAAGAGACTCTCGACTTCTAAAGGTCAACAGCAACTAGATGAATTAAAGGCCGATATATATATATATATATATAATGATATTTTGAAAGTGAAAGAGTTGTATTTGTATCCACCTCTTACGCTCAATATTTCAACCAGTTCTCATGCAATCACTGATGTTACCCAAGTTATTGTTTGGTCCGGCGTGATGACTCACAGAACTTTTGCCCAGTGCATGCGGGACGCAAATTGAAAGCCTTATGGATAAGAACCATTTGATAACTATAAATTCATAACTGAAGAGGAATTATCTCAGAGAATTAAAAGTTTAAAATCAGATAAATCGGACATAGGTAACGCTTCACCTTCACCCATACTATCCTTATTTGCAGAAGAGATTAATGAAATGACATATGTAAAATGCGCGCATTTGCTCGCGAGGTCGATAACTTCTTTAAAGAGCATTTACGCGACCTCTCAAGGTTAGATCAATCTGAAGAGTTCATTTAACAACGTATTAGACAGCAGATTAAAGATAATGATATCTCAATCCATGATTTTTGGCGGGATTGGTTATTCTCGCAAAGGTCACAAGTTTACAACTACGCAAAAAAAATTCATTTCTGGAATGCCTCTGAGTAAGGCATCGTTCTTAAAAAATCAACACATGATACATTCCCTTTCTATGTCAACGCGGGCTTGATGTCAAGACAATTAAGTAGGCTACATGAGTGTAGATAACCATTGTCCTGATTATAGGCAACAAGTCATCTCGTTATGAACATTACAATTGTTAGTTATGTGATAACTATCACATGAACACATTTCTATCAGTGCCTATTATTGGATTTTTCAGCGAGTTTGCACCTGTATGGTTGTCTTAATTATTAATAGTCGATACAACGAAATATTAGTCTTATATGGAGCATATACATACACATATGTGGTATGCAATATTAATCATATTTTTGAGAGCAGAAAAAGTGTGACTTTAAATTCGTCAGGCTTTGATAATTCGCAACTGGCTTTCATAATTTAATAGTACATGTATTTAATATGAATTTTGTCAATTACGAATTAGGATTTTTTATGCAATAGAAAATAAAAAATTTTTGTCATCATCTTTGAATTTTGCACGTTGGTTTATGATGTAATTTTTGATTTGAAAATTATGTCTAGATATCTGATAATACGTGTAAGTATGTGGTGGAAATGACAAAAAAGCATATATATATTCGATCATTGTCGGAGACATTCGAATACTGAGCGAACGTTACTGTGCGTTAATGGCTCTTTCCAATGCAGGGTAACATTGTTGAAACCTTTCAAGGTAATCTATATTATATTTAATGTTTAAGAATTACATGTATATATGGTCATTATCCTTTATATAATACAGTTGCATCTCGTTATAGTGACACTCTTTCCCAGACCTAGCTATTAGGGATTTGACCTCCACATAGTCACACCTTATATTTGCCAGATTTCTGTTTCCCGACCCTGTGATTATAACGAGTTACATACTTGCAATGAACCAATTAACCAATTTTTGAAGATTTAATTGAATATATCTTTGAAGCAACACTCTAAACCTGTGGCTGAAAATTTCGCCATGATCAATCAAATGTCAAGCTCCATATAAAATCTAACAGCAGCTTTTCAATACAGCAATTTTGGAAACATACGTAATTTGAATCGAAGCGAGATTGAAATTCGGGAAAAGGTACTTGAATGGGAAATCGTTTAAATGTTAATTTATTGGTTTCAGTGAAATAATGGCCACAAAACATATTCAATGAACTCAATACTACGCTCAAAATTGTCTACCATTAATTGATTTCTACAAAAGTGATGCACCCCAAAAAACTTTACCGTTACGTACATGGATCTATTACTTTGTACCTGAAATGAGAAAAACAAGCATCACTTCACAGAATTTGTAGCTCGTACTCAATATCGAGATAATAATGAAAATTATCTATTTGACTTTAACCTATTGTTGCATGACAGCTGAGATAGAATTATGTGATCATGAAAGAGATTAGAACAAAATTATTGGTAGTTACAATCCTTTTGAATGGAAATCTCTTGATCAAAAAACAGGTACATGCAAAAGAATAAGATTTACCAAAGGTTTAAGACGTGCCAACCTTGTGATAAAGTAATGCATTTATATTGGTTTTAATATGTTCTAGAATAATCAAAGTTCTAAATATTATTTCATTGGAAACATATTATAAAAATAATATGCAAGTGAAAAGCTTGCTGACCTAGAATAAGTTTTACCAAAAGAATTATAATTGTAATTATAGTTGCTGTCCAAACTCTGAAATTTGGGATTTGGGAGCTGAAAATACCAGAAAATGGAATTTTCCAAATATATTTAAAATCCCATATGGTTTGAACAGATAAATTTCAAATATCAATAAAATCCCAAATTTTGGTAAAAATTCCAAATTCTATTCATGTGATATTTGACCAATTCAATTGTATAATCGATGAATTTATCAAACTAAAAAGTATAAAATCTAGATTTGTATTACTTTAAGATTATTTGTACCCATAAATTTGCTTCTTTCTATTTTTATATTTCTTCTCATTACTAATATCATATCATATATACCTAAAAGCAGTATAATAAAGAATTCAGAGAAAAAAGATCTTTTTCAAGCTTCTTGGAATTTTATCTATTTTTTTAATTTAAAAGCATATTTTCAGTTAGAATTTTGTCATAGTATATTTAAATTAATTTTAATAAAAAATAAAAATTGCTAATATGAATGAAGTCAATGATAAAGATATGGGTAGTGATAAAATTTCAAGCAATTTTTTCTTAATTAGTAAAATAAACTGAAATAATACACTCATCAAATACTAAAAGATAATCTAAAAGAGATATATCTGGCAATATTATATCAAAATTGATAATGAAAAAAGAAAGCATAAAGAGGTAATTTGTATATTTTGTCATAAATTGTGAACTTAAGAAAGAGCATATGATATAAAAACTCATATTGCAATGAAATATAAAGAATATATATTTAGAGAAATTAGACTTAACATATTTTGAAAGCTTCAAAGTGAGAAAGATCCTAGATCTGGATTATCTATATCAAAAAAAGAAAAATTTATTAATTAATAGCTTTAAATACATATTATTATATTATAATAAGTGTTGATTAAGCTAAAAAAAGCAATAGCCAACAAAGTGTTGATCAAGTGAATTGTGAGTAAAGATGATGCAGCAAGTATGTAATGCTTATTTATCACCTATTGCAACATATTACAATGCCAAACTTTTATAAGCTGTAACTAGTTGCAACTAGGTGATGCTTTATTTGTTACCATGTTGCAACAATTGTCATGTCATCTTTAATTGTGAGTTCAGATATTTTATTTTCAGCTATTGATTCTCCTTATTTTAAAGATTATATCAAGTTATTGAATTTTGGATACAATTCACCCAAGCACAATATATTAGCAACTTCAATTCTAGATATAAAAATGGCAAACACTGTATTACAGATGAAAAAGAAGTTATCAAAGACTAAAAATCTTACCTTATAGATCGATGGTTGGAGTAGTCCATTGAAATATAGCAAATCTTTATTTTAAAATGCATGTAATTTCTTAGAATTATAATTAATCTATATTATGATTCTATAAGAGATATGTATGTGACAAAATTTGTCAAATCGTGGAGTTCCAACGCTTTTAGATTTGTTAGTTGCTGCCGATGAATTAATCCATGGTTGAAAATTTTCCAAAATTACTTTCAACACAACTCTTGTCAAACTCCAACCCACTGATCTCGATGAATTAGCTCTACGTACGTAGCGGTAGCGGTAGTGTTACCGAAGTAATATTAAATCCTCTAATTCCGTAATTTTGATCCTTAATTTCCACATGAATATCTTCCCATAACAACCTATACAATAATCCCTCCATAGTTAGTTTTGTGTAATTCACATTGAAAACCAAGCTTAGAAATGTTTCGTTACGAATGAATATTACCGTTACCTTTTTTTTCCTGTGTTATGAATATCTCGTCGTTTTTCAATATTAACGTTAATGTGCGTAATGATAGTGATAGTGATCATTAAGAGGACGATAATTATCCTAGCAATCACTTGGACAATAGGAGAGCATCGAACGATAATTAATGCACGTAACGATAGTGATTAAAAGAGAGACGATAATAACTGGGACAATTGAAAGATATTGAACAATTGATGTTTGATCATTTCAAAAGAAATCATTAATGTAAATCGTTAACGTTAACCTTAGAATTAGCATAATGATAGCGATAGGATTAGCGTAGTAATCCAAAATTGTATATAGAAGCATCTTCAAGTTGCTGAGAAGACATGTTTTTTTCAATGCTTTAATCTAATAAAGAAATAACAAAGTTCCTGCTTGTAGTAGTAATATTACTTGTGAATACACTATTATTTTTGATTAAACTTCAGTGGATGCTCCTCCACTTAAAATAAGCCGTTGTTT